GTAACTTCAAATCATTTATTTCGTTTCAATAATAATTATAAATCTCTATTTTTAAGCCCGACAACACCTGACACAGTTTGTAAAATTATAAATAGTCTAAAAAATACTAACAGTGTTGGTTTTGACGACGTTTGTACAAAAGTAATAAAACATGTTAGCTCTACAATAGCTAGACCTTTGAGTCATATTATAAATTTAAGCTTTACTACAGGTATATTCCCAAACAATTTAAAACCAGCCGTAGTAGAGCCATTATATAAAAAAAGGTGATAAACAAATTCCCGATAATTATCGTCCAATTGCATTACTTTCAAATTTTTTAAAAATATTTGAAAAAATTATTCATGGTCAGCTTTACACATTTTTAGAAAAACATAAAATTTTAAATAAACAGCAAAAAGGATTTCGCAAAAATACTACAGTTGCAACAGCAATATATGACTTAGTAAAAAGATCAGTGCTTTGTTTAGATAAAAGAATCCCATCATGCGCCATTTATATGGACATGACGAAGGCATCTGACCATGTAGACCATAATATATTACTAGAAAAAACTAAGCCGTTATGGTGTAAGAGGTAATGGACTAAACTTAATAAAATCTTATTTAACAGGTAGAACACAGAGAACTGTAATTAGTCAGATCTGTATCTCTACTAAGCAAGAAAAAATATATAAGTCTAATAATAGAACGATAAAGCATGGCGTTCCTCAAGGTAGTGTTTTGGGTCCTTTGCTATTTATAATATACATGAATGATATTGTTGAATCTTGTAAATACCCAATGATACTGTTTGCAGACGATAGCACTATTTTTGTACAGTGTGACAATGTAGCAGAATATCAAAATAATATTAACTTTGCTATTGAAAATATTATTAAATGGTTAAAAGCAAATAATCTAAAAGTTAATCTGGGAAAAACAAAAATAATGCAATTTACACAAAGAAAATGTACCCCAACTCAAACGATAAGTTATGGGAATAAAACTATTTCTGAAACAAAAGTTGCTAAATTCTTAGGGCTGTTTATAGATAGCAACATGTCATGGCAATCGCATTCAATAGAAATTTGTAATAAAATGTATAAAATTTCATTTGCACTATATAAACTGTCAAAAATAGCTGACCGAAAGACTGTTCTAACAGCGTACCGTGGCTTTGTGGCTTCAACCCTGCGATATGGTATCATATTTTGGGGACTTTCAACATACAGGGAATTAATGATGAAAGCTCAAAATTATTCGAGCTATATGTGGGATAAAGCCTACAGAAAGTTGCATACCATACTTTAGATCTCTTAAGATATTAACATTACCCTGTATGTATATACTAGAATCATGTATGTTCGTAAAGTGCAATCCGGATCTTTTTGATATGAGAGTTCAACAATCTTTTGTTAACCTTCGTCCTCGGAAACAAAAAATCCAGAGAACTGTATGTAAAACTGCCCTTATGAAAAAAAGTGTTGTTGAAATGGCCCCTAAATTATATAATAAATTACCTGATCATATAAAATGTTATAATGCGCAAAAATTTAAACGTACTCTAAGTAATTTTCTTATAAATAAATGTTATTATAATGTCAATGAATTCCTATTTACCAATGATTTAAATAATATGTAATTTAATAATTTTGTGGCTTTTGACTTTATTTACTTAGTTTAACTGTTATTTTGATTTTTTCATTTATGTTTAATTTTATAAAGTGTGAATATACATATATATTCGTATGCTGTAAAAAGCATTTCACGGAGATACTTAAAAATTATAATATTGTCAACCTTAATACCTGTGAAAACGAATAAATAATTTTGATTTGATTTTGATTTGAAAGATTTACAAATCACTTACAGAGAAAACACTTATTACACACTATACATTGAACCGATTGGCGTAGTGAGTCGCTAAAATTTAATTACTGATTGAGTGATTAATAATATAATTAGTAATAATTACTAGAAAACAGGGTAGTTGCAAAAGTCTTCGTACCAAAGCTAGGCAGGCCATCGTCATTCCGGTCAAAAGTAGGCGCGTTTTTTGATTATTTCATTTTGTATTTGTTTCAATGTGTATTGTTGTACAATAAAAAATATATTAATTCATCGATTGATTAAAAACCGCATCAAATTAACATACAATTTAATAATAGCCTAGAGAGAGGGAAAATAAAGATTTCCCTAGGTGGGAATATAAACAAGAAATTAAATACATTTACCTTTCTTAATCACAATGAACGTTTCTAACATATCAATCTGCAACCAATGTAAGACTCGGCAGACAAATTCTCGGCATATGTTTAGCAATCACACCAGTGTCCGACCAAAGCAATCTTCCTGATAGTAACCACGATAAATGGAGTTTCTGTATTATAATATTGTTTCGTAGTCTACCTTTTACATTATCCACGTTAGAAAACATCGCAAGCGTAAGGCTTTAATTATAATTTCCAATATCTGTTAAATCTGAATTTATTCTATCGAAAAATTTTTGTTTTGCTATTATTTTAGTATCTTTTAATTAGACTTAAAATCTTATCTTAAGCTCATATTTCAAAAGTAGGTCAAACACTTGTTTCAAGATCAACGAGCAAAATTAATTCAAGCGTAATTTTTGAGCTCTAAGTATCACTCATATTGCAATTTTCACGATACCGATCAATCGTGGCATTTTTTATATCAAAGCTTTCAAATGTCAATACACTTGAAAAGCATATACCAAAAAAAAAACAATTAAAGTGACAGTTTGTTTTTGGTTATTTTTAGGAAAACTTACAGTTATTAACAATCAATTGTTTTTATACATTTGTGGAAAAATTAACCATTGCCAAGTTTTTAAGTGTAGATTATAAAATAAAGGGGTATAGCCGCATGCTAAAAAAGTTTAAGATAAAACTAGGCAACAATTATTTTTTAACTTAGTATGAATAAGAATTATAACTTATGTATCCTCGTAACAAGTAAGGATCTCTGTCACCAAAATTCGCTTTAGTATATTAATACTTCACATTCATTGAATGAAAAAGTCTGCAAGTGGGAAAAATGTATGTATTTTGTCGATAGATCATATTGGTCTAAGATTTAGCAACTTTTTCAACAAAGTATTTCAGGTAGGCTAGTTTTTAGATATGCTTTTTCTCTCACTCTCCTGGCCAATATATGAGCTATCTGGCTGGCAGAGGTGGTCGAGGGCGAGGGAGGGTGAATGGGGCGATGCCAACCTCGTGAAAGATTCAACGTCCCCAAAACACAAGAGTTTCTTTTCACCGCTAAAAGAATCCCGCTCACTCTGGTTCCTACTTTCCGGAATATATCCTTGAAGTACACTGACCGCCTTAAGTTGTTAGGGGTTGAATTTTCTCTGAACCTCAACTTTGGGTGGTTCAATGAGTCCAGAGCCAAAGCAGCTGCAAGTAAACTTGGTGTCCTTGCAAGGGTGCGGTGGTACTTCAGGCCGGGGCAGCTTCTTACCTTACATAAAGCGCAAGTCCGGTCGTGCATTGAGTAATGCTGTCACATATGGGCTAGTGCTGCAAAATGCCACCTGGCAGCGTTAGACTTAGTGGAGAGACGTGCTAAGAAGGCTCATTAGTGACCTTGATTTGTTTGAAACCAATATTGTCAGCCTAGAGCACAGGCGCAGAGTAGCCAGTCTCTCGGTATTCTATAGGATGCATTTTGGTGAGCGTGCGCAGGAATTACACGCTTTAATTTAACGGCGGGTCTTCACTCCTTTGTTGTCGATATTAAACGCATTAGAACCAAACGGTTTTCTTCGTCTTTTGTAATGCGTACAACAAAGGAGTGGAATAATTTGCCGGTGTCTATCTTTAAATCCGAATACAATCTAGGCATCTTCAAGGCAAGAGTGAATAGGCTTTTGTTACGCTAAGACAGTGCAATTTACCATTTAAAGCTGCATCACCACTTACCACCAGGTGGGATTGTGGTTAAGCACTGGCTTATAATAAGTTAAAAAAAAACTTAGACAAGTCATTTATGAGTCTTCGGCGTTTCGTAACACTGAATTTTTGCACAGACAAAACCTAGTAGCCAGGATACTACACCAGGAAATCGATCTGAAATACGGTTTCGTGGATGACTGCCTTATTATAAGTACTTGCTGGAAGCCGTGATAGAAAATGACCGTGCCAGTCTCTACTGGGACCGGGATATCAACACATACAGAACTATTTTTGGGAATAAGCTTGAAATTGTGCTGATGGACCAGGCACAGTCAAGGATATTTTTGCTTGACGTTACCATTCCGTATGACGAGAAATTCATAAGAGTTAATCCCGTTTTAATAAATAGTAGCTGCTTATTTGCTGCTTGTCGGTATAGAAAATTGTTGAACTTTTTGTAGTTTTTTTTTTATTATTATTGGGGAATGATACATTATTCGAAAGATACTTATACAATAGATGTGCATGAAATTAATTAAGGCAGACATATGAATATTCCATACAAAATGAATTCGAAATTATCAATAATATAAAAATCGAATTATATATATAAGTCTACTTATATATACTTCAAAATAATTATAGTGTGCGACGTTTCGCCAATATTTATTTTTCACTATATAAGTTTTTGCCCCTTTTCTTACAATGAAAAAAATGAAAATGACGTGCACTGTCACTTTCAAATTTCAATATGCTTCTGTAATCATAAAGTATATTCATAGCTACGTAGTGACAGCAATTCAATGAATGCAGTTGGTAAAGAAGAATAAAGTAGATTGGTTAGAAATAAAAAAAGCAATGTTTGAAATTTCATTTACTTTCCTGTATTTACGAAATACATATATTTACAAAAAAGGGTACTATAATATATGACTTAGCTTCTCTATTAACTAAATTCTGAATGCAATTATTTAAGTAAAATAATTTATCTTAAATAATAACTACTTATTAAAATTAAAGTATATTGCATAGTTACAGCTGTTCATTACGTACAAATAATGCTATAATCACAAAAAATACTACATTCTTATTACCAATATTACACCGTGACGTTATGTTGGGTGCCGTGACCGGACATGTCTTCAATCAATCCAGCCACAGACACGTAGGAACCAGACACGAGGGCGATGATCGAAATTAGCGCAATTAGTGTGTTTTTGATGAGGACGTAATTAAATTTACCAAGACCTCTATCCCAAAGGAAGACTGTGTCAACCGCTGCAGGTATAAACAAACCAAGAGTCGAGAAGAAAACAGCCCCAATTAAGCTGATGACCAGCTCGAGATTAGGAAAAATCGCCGCGATCGCAACTGTGAACAATAATTATACTAATGTAGGCATAATATAGAAAAAGCGTACTAGATAATGGACTTATTAGATGGAGCGATGATCTGCGTATGAAAGCTGGCAGCAAGTGGCGCGCCTTGGCTAGGCCTATGTCCAGCAGTGGACTGCCGTAAGCTGATAATAATGACGATAATACCCTTTTTATTCCCAGGAGTTAATCCAAATAGTATCATTTCATCATCTTACTTACTTCTGTCATGTTTCGGTAAAAGGTCAAGTCAGTTGTAAAAAATTACATCACCCTATTTCGACCCTTGGGTGTCGTAAGAAGCGACTATGAGAAATACCTTCCGATATAGCTTCCGATAGAAGGCCGTACAACCATATTGTTTACATTAGACCTAATATACTCAGATCGCCATCGGGCAGCAGTGTCAAAGGTGCTTACATATCTGGATATGCAATCGTCAATCCGCCTGCCAAACGTGATGATTAAGTAAAGATTAATGAATTAACAAATCCTCCCTAAAACCAGAGAATTCCAAGTCATAAAGAAGAAGAATATAACTTTTATATTTGTATTGGACTTTTTACTGGCTAAATCGTCACACAAGTAGGCGCTAGTGGCTGTGTCATAATAAATCAGGCAAACTAAACCTCTTAATACCTCGATTATCGTTGCAGTATATGTTTAACTTAAAAATCTGTAAGGTAAAGGCACCTATTTCCGCGGTATTTTCACAAAAACCTCGAAAGGAGATCGAAAACTAAGCATTTATACAGTTTTTTGGACTCTTGAATTATACAAAAGGTTTGGCTATTAGATCTTAATTTGTATTCTACATTAATTAAATATGAAAGGAAGCCGAGAGAACCTTATTCCGATCATCCAACATCATAAAAATTCATACGTATGAAATAAAATCCTATTATTATCTATCTTTAATCCTAATATACCTAGCTATTTTATTTATTTTAAGCTCGTTGTATAATTGCAATAGTAGTACAAACAATATGTGTCTCTTTCTACAGCAAGATATTGTGTAAAATGATATAATGTAGTGTGTGAATTATTATTCATAAATGTTTACAATAAAGTTTGTGAAAGTTATTATAAAGGAAATCTGAACCTGAGCTGCGTAAAATTATGAACGCTCTGTTTTTTGTGTTTGTGTATATACCGCGGAATAATTTTTATAAAAAGGATTATAGAACCTTATCCTGATCTACTATACATCGTAATAGCGTTTCATACCAAAAAATCGTGATTCCTAATTCCGAGTGTTAAAAAAAATGCAAGAGATTTGCATCCTACTAATATTATAAATGTGAAAGTTTGTGAGGATGTATGGATGTTTGTTACTCTTTCACGCGAAATCTACTAAATTGATTTGAATGAAACTTTACAATTATATAAGCTCATACATCAGAATAACACATAGGTTATAATTCATAAAGATATTGAGTAAATTACCCAAAATAAAACGATAAATGTTAAGTAAGTCGGAAAAAAAATCTGTCAGAAAAACTGTAAGAGTTAGACGCCCATTACACGCCTATGCAACCGTCAATCAGTTCTATAAATCATGATTGACGTTTGTATGATAGAATAATTTAGACATTACACGCTCATGCTGACTGATGTCAGTCAAACCCAAATTTTCGGAGGGAAAGGACCTACCTGTAAACAAGTTCATTTTCGATTCACCATTTAACTGTAATTTAATATCTTGAAAATAAAAATAACATAAAACGAATAGGAAAATTTCTAATATTTAATAAACCATTCATGTCACAAGCATGGAATATGTATTAAGATAGACGACAACAATTATTTTATTTTAATATTTTACTTCTTTCCCTACTGTGGTTTTGCTTTAAGCAGTTCTGTTTTCTTTTAACACTAAACAATCAATTAAAACAAAATTATAATAAAAATTATGTACAAATTGTAATGTAAATATTATGTACATTGTACATCGATTTATTATAATTTAATCATCCAAGTTTTTGAATCTTCATCATCATTTCAGCCCGTCACTAGTCCACTACAGAACATCATCCTCCATAGACTGCCGCAAAGCATGGTCCTGAACCACTTTCCTTGTTATGACTTTTTCATTTATGGTCTTAAGTTATAGTAAAATTAGTATTACTAAGTTGTAGTTAATTACATTTATTGTTTGTTTTTGTCTTTCTCAAAAAATAATTAAATATTGTATGGTGTTCTCAACATATACCAAATGTCTGAAAAGCAAGTACGTATCATTTGCTAAACTTTTAAATCAAAAACCAATTTTAAAATATAGATGAATTGATCATAACTTCTTTAACTATAAAATAAGTTATGTTCTAATTAATGTTATTTATTCCAGTTTATAACAGCCCTGATTTATATTATGTGGCTGAAATTAGGTACTTCTTATTATGTACGTCAAACCAAATAACAGCCGGGTGTTACACACCTAACACACAAATAACAGTGACATTAAGCACTCCATGCATTTCGTATATCTAATTATAGTCCCATTAATTTCCACTAAAATTAAATAAAAAACTTATAGATTTAAACAAAAATAGCTGCATTACTATGTCTATAGTCACATTTATACAAATCGAAAAGCCTAAAGATGAGCTAATGTAAAATATGCTTAATTGTATCCGGACCATAACTTGTCAAAAAATTATGAAAGTGAGCGTTCGTTGCGTACGTGTTTTGATTTTTTAATTTAACAATGTTAGGTTTAAAACTGTGAAGTAATATTTGAAATATATTTTCCTCTAGTTACGAAGAATTTTAGCCGACAATATTTGTAGTTAAGACTACTAGAAATGTTATTTACGATGTAAAAAGGCGGAAAGGCTGGAATTAGGGGCGTGGCTGGTATTAGGGGCATCCCTACCCGGGGGTTTTTCTTGTCCTAAAACTCGGGGAGAGCCACAAAATTTAAAATAAATTCTTTTTCTGGCTAAAGCACGTTTGGCGGGAGTGCGCGAGCGCGTGGAAGCCGCCTCTTCAATATATTCTGCTTCCGCCTCCATTGCTGTCTGAGCGTTGACTGACGCGTGATTGACGAAATGTCATTACACGTTCAATCAAAATTCGTGACTGATAGTTGATTGACGTAAAAATCAAAATATCCAGATATTTGTCAATCAATTTCACGCAACCGTCAATCACCGCATTACACGATAGGTTATTCGTCAATCACAACCGTGATTGTTGTAAAACTGACAGCAAAACCTACCGTGTAATGGGCGTCTTACACGAATATAATGTATGGTGGAATTGTTCCTTCTCAATTGTATAAATCCCATAAAAAGAGCTTACAAATTACTCGTAAACGTAGTTTTTCTAAATACTTCGGAATATGGTGTCAATTTTAGAACCCATCGGAATTAGGTGCCCTTACATTGACTTATATATTAATAACGTATGCCCTTACCTAAGCATAAACTTCAGCGAAAGCTTCAAATATATAAGTTTTATAAAATAACGAAATAAAAATACACATTTTAAATTATTGAACCTATTAAACTCTTTACTCAATCGATAAAGGATGATAATAGATAATGATGGTCATTTTAACACTCCAAAGATGGGAAAAACATCTAACCTACAAAGTCGGTCAAGGGTCATTTGACTCATCACAAGTGATCGGCATAAGTAGTGCTATTCTCGGGATTAAGTAACCGTTATCTGAACATGGATATGCCTTCTGAATCCTGGGAAATATATTATTTATTTATTTTATATCATTAAATATTTAAAAATAATTGAAATGTCAATGGGTTAATCATCCTACGCTACTCAATTCTACGAAAAATTTAGTAAGATAAATTATTTAATCAGAAAATAGAAACTATATATAATTTCTCATTAAAAACTGGATCTCTCTTGATGAAACCACTGACTTCTTAAGCAGACATGTTTAAATTTTTTTAGTAAAGCCACAAAATTCAGTAAATATTAAAAAAACCTTACTTATTGAAACACTCTATTACAAAATACAATTTTTGTATGATAGAATTTTGTGTGAATCTTGTGGTACTAATGTTGGAAACGTGTTAGTATTTTACACGAACAGTGTATCGTACATGCTCTTGGCAACACGGTTATTAAAAGAATTTATGCCTAATATGAAGCATGTGACATATTTCGCTCACGCTCTGCAAAGTGTTTAGTGTGAAACAAAGAGCTGCAATTAAATGGAGTTCAACCTAATCCATGAAACAAAAATTAGAGAATGTCATGTCAACGAATCCAGGCGGTAGATGTTTTGATTACTATCTATTGAGAGACAATCACGTGAAGATATCGATGACGACCGATGATTTACGTCGGGACATCAATTTCTCGGTAAAAAAATATAAAATAGACTAAAATCGGAGCATATAGAAAAAATTATGGTTATTTATTTTAATTCTATAGGTCATGAAATTTCATATGAACATGTTAGTAAAGCAGAAGAGTGAAGTTTATGATTTGTCTATTTTTCGAGAGCTCACGTGCATCAAAATTTTAACTTTTGGGTTAACGGTGTAAGTTAACTTGGATTTTTATGGTTTTCCATATATTAAACCAAAGCCAAACTAAGTTAACTAGAGTTTAGTTAACTGTGGTGCAAGTTCACTTTAGATTTTATTTCTATGAACAAATGTAGCTGATTTTCAATATCTGCAAATAAATGTTGCTGTGTTTTGAATATTTGTTTTGTTTTTATCTTTATTATTTGACAATCTTCATATTTCACAAATTATTGTAATAAAAATGGTACTTATTGAGATATATAAGAGAAGGTTCACTTTCTCAACTTTTGTACTACATATGAGCGAATTAACTACATAGTGATTTCTTACGATTTGTTACATACAAATTGAATTCTCATTGACGAGCAATTGAAAAGTCATCGTAGTTGTACACACGACGACATATCAAGTTACCAATTTCCAGTATAATCAGATCCCGCCTATTGACCAATAATATGGCCAACAGCACCGCGTGGGACCAGCATATACCGGAAATGACTTGATACCAGACTGACTATACTTTGTTATGTCGTCGTGCGTACTTATGATATCTTAAACAGCTTAACTTCATTTAATGCATCGACATTAAGAAAAATATTTCCGGGAATCCCTGGGCATGTCCATATTAACATTATCATTCAAGTTCATTAACCCAAAATGGCACTACGTACTGTTACCTAGTCTCTAATTATGGATAATATAATATGTGTAGTGTAACACCAACAAAGGCAAAAGAAATATTTTTGGTTTCTAGTGTAAATATGTGTTAAATAAAAATTATTAACATTTATGACATATGAATATTTTTGATTCGTTTTTTTTTTGCACAAATCACACACTTTTTTGGTTTTAATTTTACAAAGTGTTTGATAGCAATAACGCCTCTTTTTCAACTCAGCTGCTGGCATTTCGTAGGCGATAGAACGTTACAGTGAGGTTTCACGGTTGGGTTTTTCCAATATATTACTCAGTTTAATTCAGTTACTCAGTTACTCAGTTCAACCGCAGGATAAATTCTCTTCTACTATTTTCTTGTTTTTATTACTTGGGACAACACCCAGGCATTTATTGCAGATACATCAAAAATATACTTATACTTATAAATACTATGATACTTGAACCGGCCATCTTCTAGAAGGTGCTTTTGGGCTGTACCTTCCCGCCATTTGAACTTCCACGTCAAACCCATATTTAGTTGAATTGTAAAACATAACAGTTTCAGGTTTTTTCTTGACAACGCCAATGTGTATATGACCACTACCATGTAATGTACTCAATAAGAAAACATTTTTGCTTCTCTTTGTTTGGTAAACAGTCAATAGGAATTTTCAAAATTTTCTTTCATCGCTTCCAACTCCTGATCATTCATCTTTTGTTCTAAATCAATTCTCTGCTTGTGATGTTAAGAAGAGTATTCTATCCATTACTTCAAATGCAATTGGCAGCGACTGTATCAGCCGTAATATGATCCTTCCGGTTCTTGACATAATCATCCCAATACTTTGCCATATCCTCAACTCCTCCATTTCTTGTGGTGTTTTTCCATCAACTTGGAAAGACGCTCACATCATACCGTTGCCTAAAAAGCCCAACCCTACATCTTTTTCGGAATATCGTCCTATATCTATATTGCCATTCCTATCCAAAGTTCTCGAACGCCTGGTATATAATCAGCTCAGTGCTTTCCTTCGCAATAATTCCCTTCCAAATCCTCTACAATCTGGTTTTCGTCCTGGGCATAGTACTGTCACAGCCTTAGTCAATATTACGGAAGATATAAGATCTGCCATGGAAAATGGCAAATTAACTATCCTTTCTCTGTTAGATTTTAGCAATGCCTTTAATTCAATTGATTTTGAAATTTTACTGGGTATACTTGGTTCTCTTAACATATCTCCAACAGTGATTGGTTGGTTTCAAAGTTACCTGTCTGGGCGCCGGCAATGTATTCGCATTGATGACACATTTTCTTCTTGGTGTGATACCATTGCTGGTGTCCCGCAGGGTGGCGTATTATCTCCCTTACTTTTTTCAATTTTTATTAATTCTATAGCTACTAAGATTACTTCTTCCTACCACCTATACGCAGATGATCTTCAAATATATACTCATGTTTCTCCTAGTGAACTACATGTAGCTATTAGTACTATAAATAGTGACCTTGAGCAAATATCAGATTGGGCAAAAACATATGGCTTAAAGATTAACCCTCTAAAGACTCAGGTAATTGTAATCGGAAGTTCGAATATGATTGGGAAATCAAACCTTTCTCAAGCACCTCAAGTTGTTTTTGATGGAAATTTTATTCCTCTTAGTGAAAAAGTCAAAGACTTGGGAATTTATATTGACAGTAACCTATCATGGGGTCCTCAAATACAGGAAGTTAGTCGTAAACTCTTTGCAGCTGCTCGATCATTGAACAGATTAAGGAACTTTCTGCCTACTGCCACTAAAATTGCGCTTGCACAATCTCTGCTTCTCCCGATTCTGGACTATGCAGATGTTAGCTATCTTGATCTCACCGAAAAGCAACTTGATAAACTTGAGCGTCTTCAAAATTTTTGTATAAGATTCATATTTGGTTTGCGCAAGTATGATCATGTTTCTTGTTTTCGTAATAAGCTCAAGTGGCTTCCTATTCGTCTTCGCCGGAATGCTCATATTCTGTCACTTCTTTACAATGTTCTATTTAATCCTTCCTATCCTTCTTATCTTAAGGATCGCTTTGAATTCCTTCACTATTCCCATTCGAAGGTTTCGAGATCATCAGAAAATTTTACATTAAAAATGCCTGCCCATAATACCAAATTTTTGGACAGGTCGTTTACTATCCAAGCAGTCCGTCTATGGAATGCACTACCTCTGTCAGTGAGACGCGCTCAATCTTTATCTGTTTTTCAGAAGCTTGTACACAACCACTATCTTAACCTTTGAATTCGTGCCATCTATATATGTATGCATTCGTATTTTATGTCTTTATTTGTTATTTATTTCTATATATTATAATTAAATCTTTATAAATATTGTCTCTGCATCACCAAACCACACAATTTTCTGCTTTTTGTAATCCTGTCCATCCAAAGGTTGTCTGGAAGAAATCGCTTTTAGCGATAAGACCGCCCATTGTGTCACTATTTTTTTTTCTTTTTCTTTCGTTTATGTATTGATTTGGTGTACAATAAAGAATTATCTATCTATCTATCTATCTAGGAATTGGTAATTTTTTCCTTTTAGAGTTTGGTGTCATATAAATCCAATTTTAGATTATTTATATATGACAGAATGTTGCTTATCCCTTTATTTATAGTACCAACCAAAGTTGTACGTTTTGAAAGCAAGTTCTGAACGAAAGACACAGATGTGAAAAATTTGTCTGTAGTCACATTTCTACTTTTATTCAGAAATAGTTTCGAAAATCAAATAGTTCATGCATGCATCTTATGGAACATGCGTGCATGACGACATGCATCTTGTGGAACTATTTGATTTTCGGGTTAAGTTTCATCTTTTCCAAGATATGGGTATCCATCCAACAAGTTTATCGATTTGACATCAACACAGAGCCGAAATTTTATTCCAAATTCATCAGGTTTATTCGCCACGTATTGAATACCCTTGTACCAAATGGTCAGTAGGTCCGGACGGTGTACCGCCCTGTATTTTTAAGGACTGTAGGATGGTATTAGCTCCCCCATTTCAACATTTGTTCAATATCTATTTACGTGATCTCTCGTATCCCGACGGTTGGAACCTGATAGGGTAACTCCAGTCCCGAAGGATGCTCTGAGCTCAGATGTTTGTGAATACAGAGTTGTAATGGTGCTGTCAGCGTTTGCGAAAGTCTTCGAGTCAGCATGTACCCTATGTAATAATTCTCATAGATCGTTCTGGTCTCACATCGAATCCTAAATATTTCACAATTTCTTTGAATCTATCCCTAAGCGTATGTTTAGAAAAAAATGAAATGTCCCATATTTTACTCCACAAATCATTTACAGATATATTTTTCTCTACAAAAAACCTCTATCATACATAATGGAAATGAATTTTTCAAGTTCTTCTAAAGAAATATACCATGAATGACTAAGCCGACGAGTTTCTTCGGCCTCAGTACAATTTTTTCGAATTAAATTGATAACACTTTATTGTACGCCAAAAAATAACATAAATATTAACAAAAAATGGCTGGTACAATGGCTTTTTTATGTGTCGTAAAATCGAATCATCTATCAGAAGTTTCCAGACTGTCATAAATTTCTCTCCAACTTGCCTCCGTCTTGCCGTAGTTCCTGGCTGTTCAGTTACAACATTATAACTTCCCCAGCAACCTGCAACCCTTAAGCTATTTTCAAGTTTGGATTTCCACAATATTCCACCTGGTGACATCATATTATTATGAGAAGTATTTCCATAATGATGTTAGAACGTCACGCAGTTTGTTGTTGAATTATAGTCAATGGTATGTCGCTGTCTGAATTATTACTAGAACTTGACTCAGGAGCTGCATGATATGAATCGCTATCTTAAACTTCTGGTGTTAATGAGACACCTTCACTATCCGATTGATCTTCGGGCAACAATTTAATAATGTCAATATTTCTGCTGATACACAGACATTTTCCATAAAATATCAATCAAAATAATGAAATTGACTCAACGAGAACGAGTAGAGTAAAAACAACCCGCAACAACAATGCATTCGTCTATTGAATAGGTCAAATCACCTTAGCTGTCATTGTATGTGAACGTTATTTTTATTTATATTTGTATAAACTTTTAACAATGTAAATAATTTTGTTTATAAAACAATTGTAAGTCATTAAAGGTCATTAAAAATAATTATATATATATATATATATATATATATATATATATATATATATATACCCTTGCTGGCTAGTGTGGCGAATGACTGAAATATATAATTAAAATTATGATTAGCACTCAATATTTCATATCTCTATTGATATTTACTAGCAAATGTAATAGTTATGTGTTACCATATTAACTACTTTAAATTTAAATCGATGCTTAAATATCAATACTGTACTCACCGCTAATTGTAATGAGTATTGTCCTTATACTAATTTGAATCACATTTTCGTAATTAGTCGACGTCCTCTTGTCTAAAAGTCTAGTTATCATCTCCATTGGTACGTAAAATTGCAGTGCAAATGATAGATACATTACCACGGCCATTATTATTTTGGCACTTTGCGCTAGACTGAAAAATAGCAATTTAAATAAATAGCGAATAAATACTTCTTTAAATTAAAATTTAATAATACAACTACATTCAAAAACATAATATGCATGCAAACACTTGGGTTCATATAGATTCATTGTTAATTTACTTGTAAATATTTAAAGCTTTTTACATGTTATATATTGTTTAAGTTTTAATTTTGATAGATTGTAAAAGTATTATGATTTCTAGTGCTGTTCGTTACTTAATTTATGCTTATATTTATTCCCATATGATATTGTTAAAATATTTTGTCAATTATTATTATACCCATTTCATTTTCCTGCTCTTAACCATTTCATAATAATTTGTGCGATGTAAATTGCAAATGTTATACAAATTACATATGTATTTCTTGTTAAAACCACCATATTTGACTGCCTCATCACTTACTACCAAGTGGAATAGTAGTCAAGCACTGGATTTTAATAGTAAAAATAAATAAAAGTATTGTATTCCCATATATGTATACCAATATAATATGTTTAGGTTTCCTCTCATAGCACTCGATACAATTTTATTTGTTTCTTCTACTAATATGTAAATGTTAGGTCTTTACCTATGAAATTTCCGTTTTTTTATTAAATAAGTTAACGCATCTGTTGTTCAGTATGAGGTCGCGTTGTCGTTCAGGTGCAGTGGGGATGAGCGATTGACCAAAGCTGGTTGGAGTCATGCGAGTTTCTCCATCATCGTGTTCAGTTTTTCACAGTACACATCTGCAGTAATGCTCATCCCGTTTGGTAAGAAGCTGTGATAAATCACACCGGCGCTATACAACCAAACAGTGACCATAACTTTTCTGGGGGTAAATTTTCGTTTAGTGCATTGCTTGGGTGCTGATCCAGCATCCAACCACTTGCCGAGCGCTTGCAACTGTCAAACAGAATCTACTTTTCGTCGCAAGTAAAAGTGCGGTTCAAAATTCCTTCGCTTGTGCACCTGTTGCGCAGTGCAAGGCATGTCACGATGCGTACTTCGCGCTGGCGATCATTGAATTCGTGGGGCACCCATTTGTCAAGCTTATTACCTTGCCGATTTGATGCAATTGGACCACTATAGTTTTGATGCTAACGTCGAAATCTGCTGCTAATTCAACCGTAGATTCAGTATAATATAAAGCTTACACAATCGCCTTTAATTGGTCATTGTTCATAAAAGTTTTCAGGCGACCACGGGGTTCGTTTTTCAGGTTCAAATTTCCAGAACGGAAGCGGGCAAACCAGTAATAGGTGGTGCGTTCCTTTGTAGTATTCGCCCCGTAAACGTCGTTGATGTTGCGTGCCGCTTGTGCTGGTTGCTAGCACGACGGTATTTATATTCTATTATTACTCGTATTTTTAACGTATCCGTGATAAAGAAAAATATTGAAATGTGATAAAAACATAACGCTAATAAAAAAGAAACAAATTTTGAAAAAGGAATTCCATATTTTACTCAGCCAAATAAAAAAAATATTTTGATTTGAAATAGCTAGTACCAATGGCAGAACGGCAATTTCATATATAAAAACCTATTGTTATTAATTGCTGACCGTTAGTCTCGTTAAAACTCAAAAGCGTCTCAAGCAATTTTTATAAAACTGTTTGTGTATTTGAATGGGTTCTTAGATAGTTTAAATTCACATTTGAACCCAGTAGGTGGCTCTGTTGTCAAGGTGCAGAAATCACCCGTGCAAAACCGGGTAAATATAAATGATGTGAGTGGACTTGTTGCAGAAGGCCGTGTTGTGGCGGCGTAAGAAAATGCAATAATTATTATTTCGTGGATGACGTAATTGGTGATGAATAAATTCAATTTTGCAGGAGATGAGGAGTAACATCTTCCTTATAAAAACTCCGTAACAATAAAATCTGCACTTGCCAATCCGTCTAAGAAACTATTGCAAATATCCCATATGCCTAACACTATAGGAAATATGAAGGAATCTCTGAGGTGCGCCTGTTTAGCAGTGGACTTTTGATATAATTAATCATGAAATGATGAAAATGAATGGGTAAATAAGTGAGTGAACTCATAAATTACTATCTAACTTATCTTTGTATTGATTTTCTTGCCAGCTGTCTTTATAAAAGTTTTCTGTTTTTTGTACATTGACTAACTTGATCTGAAGACAAGCGTAAGTGCGGGTGACTCAGGATCGTGGTATGTGGTAGTTCATACATTTAGTAATAGTAATAATAATGATAAAAGGAAATAAAAGTAGTTCGAGGAATTAATTTAACTTACATTTCATCTTGTGGTAGATTCAATGTCACACTTCCTTTTACTTCATCTCCATACTGAACGTACCCGAAGAAGCCAACAATAGCATACAAAGTAATGACAACAGTCATGGCTGTATTAAGCACACCAGGGCAACCAAGAAACTTCTGAGGTTTAGCCATTTCGTTTTCAACTGGCATAACTACGCCAATACCCTCCATTGCAAATATAACAGTACTGAAATGTACAAAACATAATATTATAAACGCTAAATTTATTATTTATTTAGTAACATATTTAAATTCTAGCCATCAATATTTTCGTAATATTTAACTTATTACATAGAATATGAATAATCAAAGCTGGTAAATAACGTCAGAGCAATTTTTAAACCAGCGGCGAGCACTTCCAAATAATATAAAGATTTCAAATGCGATGAATATCTAAGTGAGCATGTAACCATTGAACTACCTATACCGAATGAAATGTAAAAGACTGGCCAATTGTATGGCGCCGATACTTGTGTACAAATTGTACACAGTGGAAATAGGCGCGTAACCAGAAAACTGTACTTATTTAATATGACAGACAATAAGAGTTATCACAGCACATTATCGGTGATTCCTAGATTTTGAATCCTACCCTTAAGTAATATTAGTGAAAGAATTAAACAAACTGTGGGCTTCTAAATAAAGTTATGATGTAATTTTTTCCATGTCACTCGACTGAACTCTTACTACTAGGCCACGTGGACATCGTATCCAATAATTATAAAAATCTAAAGTAGAAATAAATAATTGAAATACCAGGTATAAAGATTTCTTACCTTAGGAACAAAGGCCACTGAGCAACATCTGAAACCATATTCCTTTCGGTAATGGGTGGCAAATCCATAAAGACATAATACATTGTAATAACGAATACAATTATGATCAGGAAATTGGCGATCGCTGAGAAGGGGACTAAATATTTCAAATTTCTTATCTGAGCGATAAGAACTAACGGTACTAATGTAAGGACGCAATACGTTTGAATTGATAGACTGTGATTGGGTATGTAGTAGTCTAATACCTGTGGAATATAAAATATTTGTAAGAAATGCATATATAAGCAATGTTTAGTAAGTGTACACAGAAAAATATATAAAGCAATAAAGGAACTCCGAAGGTTATCGCTATTCATTGGTACGCATTCAACCGGACATCTGTTCACGGCGGCACCAATGGATTTTTTTTTAAAGATAATGGTGACAAACGAGCATACAGTCCACCTGATGGTAAGTGGTTGCTGCGACCCATAGACAACTATATCTATACTCTATTACAAATCAAAATGCAGATGCGTTGTCACCCGTGAGGACTAAGATGGAATATCTCATTTCCAGTAAAAAGGGTCTCCTGCTCTCTACAATTACCATACGAAACACAGCAGCGTTAAACTTCTATTTTATGCTGGTATTCTGTGAGAGCGTGGTCCTTCCCCGGTCGAGCCGACCAATTCGTGCTACAATTATACTACTAATATAGCTGCAGCATGGCTATACCGTGTTAGTAGTTAATCGAAACTTTAAATGCTGATTCACTACGTGCTCGATGATGGGGTAGCATCTAGGAATCCTATAAATCTAATATTTATTTAGTTTGGAGATCTATGAATTCAGCCATTTACTCAACAATTTCAGAATTAAGAGGAGGCTTGTGCTGAGCAGCGACATGAATATAGGCTGTTACTTGGTTGCTTTTTTATAGCATAAGGCTAATAATTTTATGACAAACGAGCAGATAGTCCACCCGATGGTAGGTGGTTGCTGTAGCACAAAGACATCTACATCTATCTACGATTACGATTCAAAATCTTTTCAGATGACAAAGCGTCTGCGCGTTGGGACTAAGAGACTAAGATGGAATGCCTCGTTTGCAGTAAAAGGTGTCTCCGGTTCTCTACACTCACCATACGATACACAGCAGAATTAAGCTGCTATTTTACGCTGGTATTCTGTGAAAGCGTGGGCTTTCCCCTGTCGAGCCGACAGAGCAGAGCAGAGTTTTATTCTATAAGACAGGTAAGCAATAAGAAGATATTCAACAACTCCTTTGTCCGCAAAAAAGGCACAATAGTTAAACAACCGAAATGTTCATATATGTCTCACGGGACAGTGAAATGGCTAAGGATATACGTAATGTATCAAATAGTTGAAATGCGTTTCATTATGAGCTAAATGCCTAATACTTATTTCTACAAGGCAATACTACGTCGGTGAATAATTTGCATACACATCCAAACGTTCACCAAATCTTACATTTCCTTGATGCTACACATATCGTATTGCAATCCTCAATCTGCCTGTGAAGTTTGAAGAATTAGACGAAAATTCTCTTCTATGAGAAATGTCCCAATTTTCTTCTTCTTCATTATCGGCTCTGAAACTGCTTAAAATGGGCTTCTCCCAGTACAGGGAGAATCTACTCCTTAATCGCCATATATTTATATTTAACTTGCGCTCCCGGACCCCAAGATACAGGATTATCCTAGTTTGGGGTCCTTTGTTTAGATGTTTAACTCACTGTTCTTACATTTGTTCAATCTATATGTCAATAAAAACATTTATTATTATTATTATTATATCAGGTGCATTGATGATTCCAATGTCAGGCGTCGCGAACCTTTAACACCATTGTCCGTCACTAGTCTGAGGTAACTTACACCTAACGTAATTGATACGATTATACCCTCGATCTATCGGAAGTCGATCGCAATACAGCTTGATTAATTTACAAACTTAATAAATTAATGAATTACGGTCGAATTCAGACAACTGGACAACCACAAGTAATAATTCAAAATGCATGTTATAATACCTCTTTAAATGACGATCCTATAAATATGACGTAGACGCAGACCAGACTTAAATATGTTAAAGTCATTGAATAATCAACAATATTCCTGAAAAATAAAAACATAATTTGTTTTGATTTCTTTTTTAAATAGAGAAATCATACCTCGATTAAAGTAGTAAGATCATTTATACCGATGCATATAATTAGGTAGTAGCCGAAAATCGGGCTAAGTGGCGCATCTTGAGAGAGGCCTATGTCCAGCAGTGGACTGCCGCAGGCTGATGGTGATGATGCTATAAATAGGTTAAGCTGAAGAGAAGAATGTTACGAAAAGAAACGAACCACTGAATATTTACCATATGAATTTACGTGGTAGAGCCATGCTGCAGCTATATTAGTAGTATAGTTTTAGCACGAATGGGTCAGCTCGACCGGGGAAGGACCACGCTCTCACAGAAAACCTGCGTAAAATAGCAGCTCAACGTTGCTGTGTTTCGTGTAGTGAGTGTAGAGAACCGGAGACCCTTTTTACTGGAAAAGAGGCATTCCATCTTAGTCCTCACGGGTGACAACGCATGTGCATTTTTTTTATAGGATAATGTTGACAAACGAGCACAGAGTCCACATGATGGGAAGTGGTTGCTGCAGCCCATAGACATCTATCCTCTATTACAAATCAAAATGTTTTCACCCGTGAGGACTAAGATGGAATGCCTCATTTCCAGTAAAAAGGGCCTACGGCCACCTGCACTCACCAAGCGAAACGCAGAGGTAAACCTCTACTTCACGCTGGTTTTCTGTGGGGTCGTGGTACCACCCCGGTTCGAGCCGGCCCATCCGTGCGACAGCAAAAGCTGCCGCGTGGCTCTACCACTGCTCAAAAGTCTTTATTGAGGATAGATGTAAATGTCTATGGATCACAGTAACCACTTACCATCGGGTGGACTGTGTGCTCGTTTGTCACCCTATCCTATAAAAAAAAATATCAGATTGACTGTCAGCTCGTTTATAACTGTAATATTAGAAAAGTTCATGTCGTGGAACACTCGGTTGGAACGAAGTTCCTTTCGGTGTATATTATTGTTATAAACGTATTATATTCTAGGCTAATCTTCGAAATAGCTGGACCGATTTTGACTTTCACTAGTAGATTGCTGATGTTATAAAGAGTAACTTAGGCTACTTTCATTTTAGAAAACGAATTAGGGTTTCGCGAAAAAAACTTAAATCCCTTTAAATTGTGAACAAAATCCAATTTAAAGATAATTAATAAATATACATTCAACATAATCCAATATAAACACTAAATATAATAATAATAATATAATAAGATATAATAAGGCCCAGTACCACGCGCGCGCACCGAAAGACATTATTACAAAGGCTACCTGTCGAGCGGGGTCAGCTCAGAACCCGCGAGCGGGCTATTGCGGATGGTTGTGTCTCAACTCGCGCCCTATAAAATAATTTTCGACTAGCATGTAGCTGATGTTATAAGGAGTCACTTTTATATTAGAAAAATAAACAGGTTCCGCGCAAAAATATTAAAATATATCGTAACGAATGGTAATATATTCCACGCGGACGAAGCCGCGGGGAGCAGCTAGTTTATAATATAACCAATAATAATAATAACTAATATTATAATAGGATATTTATATTGTTTCTTATTTGATTGGGATACATACACACTTATAAATATATACAAACATTTACAATTAACATAAATAAAATAGAATGGAATGTATACGTAATGCAATATTATATTGAATATTATTATTATTACTTTACGGTCCCACCCCATGAACGTAGTCCTTTTGGTCCATACGTAAAAGCAGCGCCACACGTCTCCGCATATCCCATGGATGGCTTCTTTGCTAGCACACACAACTCCTGCGATGCCCTAACCTGAAACATAGTAACAGTAACATAAATAAAAAAAAATCTCCCGATAAAAAAAGAACTGATGATCTAAAAACAGCTGAATCGAATTTTTTGAAACATTTTCCATTAACCAATAACCTTTCAAACAAAAAAAAGGTAATCAAAATCGGTTGATTCGTTCAGGAGCTATGATGTCACAAACATACACACAGATACATAGACACATAGACACATAGATACACACTACAAACATATAACACCCCTCTGTTTTCTTCGGGGGTTAAAAACAAACGCAGCGATTCTCATCGGCAGACTTATGAGATATTCTCTGTTAAATAACTTATTTAATAGAATTTGTGTTCTCGTTGTAGAAATTTTATATATTTTCGAAGTTTTTATACATTAGTAATTTATTAGTAATTTTCGTATTAATTTCTACTTTTTAATATTTGTCCCATTTTACATTTATGTAGGGGCAATATTGATAAAAACTAAAAGATTTCATGGTTTTGATTGACATATAACTTAGTAAAACATGAAAGACAAGGTGATGTTATATGTAGTTTCCCATTATAATTATTCAAATAAATTGGTAATATACTACTTTTTTTTTTAATTACATTGATACATTGCAACTATTTTATCCTTCAATTAAATATACTAAACACTAAACAAAAACTATTTCAACAAGTATTTACAAAAATGAATTTACAAAAACAGTTTAAAAAAACTTACAATTAAATTCACTCGCCTAGAACGCGTTAGCCCCGACTGCGTATCTGTTTTTGTCGTGGGGCAATCCTCATGGATACCTTCTGCTGCGGGGGCAACAGAAAGGTTATGCCTACTCCTACAGGCCAAAAACCTACGGTGGTCTCCATCAGCGTATATGAGGAGTCCCGGGATCTCCGTTCGGAACGTAACCGGGGCCCTTGATTATTTTACGTCCATCTTTTCAATAAGTATGTGCTATTAAAAGATGGATATTTGTTATAAAGCTGCCAAAGGTAACAAGCGAGAACACAGTCCATCTAACAAGTGAATGGTGTGGCTCAAACACTTGTATGTGTTTACACGTTTTTGTTACACTTACACCCGAATGCCGATATATATAAAAACCGACCAAGTACAATTCGAACTCGCGCGTGAAGGGTTTCGTACCATCAAACACATTTCTAGTAGGGGAACCGCCTTTTATTTTGAATTTATTTTATATGATAATTAAGTTTCTAGTTTTAGTTTTTTTTTATTATCATAGTTTTAATATTGTAGATTTATTTTTATTTTATTATTTGTTGTTATAGCAGCAACAGAAATACACGTTCTGTGCAAATTTCAACTACCTATTACGGATCATGAGATACAATCTGCTGACAGACAGACGAACGAACTGACTGACGGACGCACGGACACCGTTGGTTATCCTTTGGGACGGAACCCTAAAAAAACTAAAAAATATAACTTAAATTTGGTAGAACCACGTTGCAGTTATATTATGGTTACAGCACAATTGGGTCAGCTCGAGTGGGGAAGGACTAAGTACTCACAGATTATAACAAAAAAAAAAAAACTAAATGAAATAAAATTTATTCCGGAATTTGGTGCTAAAACATAGTATTTATTTTAGAAGAATAAGAGTCACAAATCTTTGAAATCGTATTATAATTGACAAAGATATCGCGTAACATAAATACAAAAAAAAGTGTGTGTACTTATGTACGCGCACGTAGGAAGTTATACTTCTTTAGCGTAACAAAACAAAAATAACTACCTTAAATATAGTTATCAGTTCCCACGAAAACTTGAGAGACAGTTATCCAATGTAGTTGTCACTTTGAGGTGTCAGTCTGCGCGCGCATCGTAACAACTTCATGGTGTCGTTTTTAGCTGTCGGTGTGAGGGCGTATCGTAAAAAATTCACTCTCATAATTTTTCCCAAACGCCCCAAAAGAAGTATAACTTCAAAAATACATGAAAAAATGAAAATGAAAAATTGTTTATTTCTTTAAAAAGAGATCATACATTTTATAGGTATGGGAGTAAGTGGAACATCCTTGTAAGTAAATATATACTTGTGGCAGGGCGCCCCGCTCTTCTATAGCAAGAATTAAATAAACACAAAATAGATTAATTAAAGAAATACAAGAAACTAAGCTTATATTTATATAATGAGGGTTTTATATAAGTGTGCGAGTTTATGTGAGTGTGAGTTAATGGGTGCGTGCGCTCACTCGCGCGATTCTGTGTGTGTGTGTGTGTGTGTGTGTGTGTGTGTGTGTGTGTGTGCGCGTGCGTGTGTGTGTGTGTGTGTGTGTGTGTGTGTGTGTGCGTGTGTGTGTGTATGTGTGTTTGCGTGTGTATATGTACACATGTGTGTGTTTGTTTATTTAATAACTTTTAGTAATGCCTCGACTTCATCATACTTAAGTTTCAGTAGCCATTCTGTAACTGTCTTTTTGAACTCATTAGAGTTCAGTGAATAAATGTTTAGTTTTTTGTTTTGTTAACCAGCCTGTCTTTTAAATTGGTGACTAGCAAAATTTGTCTTGACTAGAGTTAATTCAAAAGCTTTTCCTCGTCTATTACTACTTTTGCAGTCGTAGAAAGTTGTTTTATGTTTTGTTAACAACAAATTTAAAATGTATAACTTTCTAACACTTAGTAAATCTTAATAGATCTTTAAGACCCTCAGACATGTCGCAACTCATAAATTATCAAATCAAATATATGCTGCACTAGCCCAATCGATTTTAACATATTGTATACCAGTTTGGGGTGGTACTACGAAAACTAAACTCCTACAACTAGAACGTGGTCAACGATCATTAATAAAGGTCATGTACAATAAATCATATAGATTCCCTACAGAAGAACTTTACTCAGTTAGTGGTTTACTGGTGACTCTTATTCTTCTAAAATAAATACTATGTTTTAGCACCAAATTCCGGAATAAATTTTATTTCATTTAGTTTTTTTTTTTGTTATAATCTGTGAGTACTTAGTCCTTCCCCACTCGAGCTGACCCAATCGTGCTGTAACCATAATATAACTGCAACGTGGTTCTACCAAATTTAAGTTATATTTTTTAGTTTTTTTAGGGTTCCATCCCAAAGGATAACCAACGGTGTCCGTGCGTCCGTCAGTCAGTCCGTTCGTCTGTCTGTCAGCAGATTGTATCTCATGATCCGTAATAGGTAGTTGAAATTTGCACAGAACGTGTATTTCTGTTGCTGCTATAACAACAAATAATAAAATTAAAATAAATTCAAAATAAAAGGCAGTTCCCCTACTAGAAATGTGTGTGATGGTACGAAACCCTTCACGCGCGAGTCCGAATTGTACTTGGTCGGTTTTTATATATATTGGCATTTTTTATATATATATCGGCATTCGGGTGTAAGTGTAACAAAAACGTGTAAACACATACAAGTGTTTGAGCCACACCATTCACTTGTTAGGTGGACTGTGTTCTCGATTGTTACCAAAGAGAATATAACCACTACGTTTACTTGTTACCATTGGCAGCTTTATAACTAATATCCTAATATCCTAATATCCCTATCCTAATATAATATAATTAAAAGATGGATATATATTATATAATATATAAATATAATATATATCCATCTTTTAACAGCACATACTTATTGAAAAGATGGACGTAAAATAATCAAGGGCCCCGGTTACGTTCCGAACGGAGATCCCGGGACACACATGAGGGCATATACGCTGATGGAGACCAGATAGGAGATAGGGTTTTGGCCGGTAGGAGTAGGCATAACCTTTCTGTTGCCCCCGCAGCAGAAGGTATCCATGAGGATTGCCCCACGATAAAAAACAGATACGCAGTCGGGGCTAACGCGTTCTAGGCGAGTGAATTTAATTGTAAGTTTTGTTAAACTGTTTTCGTAAATTAATTTTTGTAAATACTTGTTGAAATAGTTTTTGTTTAGTGTTTAGTATATTTTATTGAAGGATAAAATAGTTGAAAAGTATCAAAGTTAAAATCGATTGGGCTAGTGCACCATATATTTGATTTGATAATTTATGAGTTGCGACATGTCTGAGGGTCTTAAAAATCCCAAATAAGTTTTCGTAATCTATTATTAGTTGCTTCTATATGTGAATGCCATGTAAGTGTTTGGTCTATTATAACACCCAAATATTTAGTACTAGCTACTTTTTTCTATAGTAGGACACGTGCAATTGTTACGCAACAATTGCACGTGTCCTACTATAGAATACATACATCCAATCGAATTGAGAACTTCCTTTTTTAATTCGGCAAAAAGTAATTTCTTATACTTACAAATATATGCACTGTGTGTGTACAAAGAAAGCCAGCAATCAGTGTTCCAATTAATCCAGTAATTAAACCTGAATTCTTGAAAGCCGCTGGCATTGCCAGAATTCCAGTACCAAGACATCCTTTGATAAGATGCGCAATTGAACCAAGTACGCTGAAAAAGAAAGTTACATAAGGTACAAAGTTTATAGAGGTAGCGTTTGGTAGAGGTGTAAAAAATCGTCAAAATCGTCGTCACCCTATTTCTTGCTGTGCATGTCGTAAAGTAGACTATGAAATATGACAGAGATCTAATGACTCCTGTTAGATGTCGGTTTAACCATCTCGTTTACACCAGTGTTAATATATCTAGATCGGTTTAAGAAAGCAGCGTTCAAATTAAGAAAATCTGATGCTACGATCGTCGATCTCCCTGTCCAGCGGGACGACTAAGGCAAGTCCTCCCCGTACAAGGAGAGTCTGTGTCTGTCAAGTATGTAATATGTCTAAAAAGTATGATCAATTTAATGACGGAATACAATTTGCCACTAGAAAAATATCCCTAAAATTAATACTGCACAAATCTAGTGATCATTTCAGTTTACGTTCTCTCAGAGGTACGGTCGTGAAACATCGCCAAATTCCTCACTCCGGACTGCTACTGAGAATTTCTTGACAGGAAAAACCAATAACTGATTTTGGTCCGACCCGGCATTTGAACCCGGGACCTTACGATCAGCAACCACATTTATGATCACTTAACCAACAAGGCAGTCTTTAGTAATCAAGCTACGGCACCAGTGTATGCGGGCCTGATTATAAGCATCAATGACGTTGCACGGCACCGAACGCGAGTGTTTCTCCTCAGGCGATAATGATGGTGTAAAATCTCATTAACACTTTCCAATTCATCTACAATATGTGGTGAATCTCTTCACATAATACGTAATTCGCTTTTATTTCTTTTATTTTTTACTGCTAGTACTTTTTCTTTCTGTCGATCAAATCAATGTTAGTCGACCGGGCTGAAATTTGTTAGACACGCGGTAAACGGCTTAGAAGTGCCTACGGCCATAAATGGAATTTGAAGTCTATCAAACGGTTCGTTTGGTTGTAGGTAACATTTGAAAATGAAATGTGTATTATGATAATATAAATGAAAATGTTTCCGACGCAGATCCATATTTCAATGACACATAGTTTTTATAGTCCGTTGATGAAACATGATATTTTTCTATTTTTAGCTCCTAATGGAGGGAAATTTGAAATTTAAACATTTGTATTTTTACTTTTCAAATCATATTTTAAATCTATTAGACCAGGCCAAAAAATGTTTCTGCTACATATTTCAGGTTTTCTGTTTATTTCTAACTTTCTACAGAAAAATTTGTAAGGCGGATATCCCACGACACACCCTTTTTATAAATGCTTTATTTATCCCTGTCAAACTTTATTTTTCGTTTTTATTGATTTGCTAGATCCATGTATTTCAAATAGAACACATATCAGGAAAACAACAGTGAAAGGACCTGATTAATAAATTGTAATACATTATTAAGCGATGCTACAGATGTATGGGATAACAAAAAAATCTTATGGTTTTCGATTGTTGCGGTATAACTATATAGTTTATCATCAGACGTAAAATACTTTCAGTTTATGTGAAAGTATTCTATGATAAAATATCTAAACTGGCGAGGTGCACCAGTGTCAAAGAGTTTAGTATTACGATCGTCAATATGACTACCAAGCGTGACGATTGAGGCAAATTTTCCGCACAATCAAAGAAGCCCATGTCCAGCAGTTTCACTTTTAACTAATACAAAAGAGTTATAAAGAAGAAAAAGAAGAAAAAAATAATATTAAAAAATTATAATGAATGAATGTTTCATACACTTACGAATTAGGATGTTTAACTTGACGATGTTCGAATGGATTGTATGCTTTTTCATCATTGACATCTCTAGACGTTATAGTAAGAGTTGATGGATATACTGCATTGCTTGTTAAGTTTGCCCTGAAATTAAATAATTTTATGTATTATTTTAAAATTGAGATCGCTCGGCGATTTTAAGAAAGTCTAATGAAGTTGGACTAGCGTAATCAAGAAACCACTACAGTTCACTGATTCATTGAAACATGATAAGTAGAAACCGACAACCAATAGCCAAGAAAAGTTTTGAGTGGCAGTCTCGTACATGGAGGCCTATATTTAACAGTCGTATTGTTAAGGGTTGTATTGAATAATTTAAAACCTAAAAAATATTAAATCAGTTTATAACAACACAGTCCACAAGCTATTTAAAATGAAATAAAAAGTTTGTCCGTAGAAGGAAAAGGCGATAATATTTTGTACCTACACGGAATAATAAATACATTATTACAGTTAATGAAAAAAAAATGCTTAACAAAGATTTTAACGTCGATGAACACAAAATATACACAATAACTACCAAATCGAGGGTACAATACCTAATGCAAAGAAACGGAAAACAAAAATTAAAAAATAATGTGTGTTTATTTTCTCAAAAGAAATGCATTATTTCACTTAATGAGAAACTAAGTAAAAATAAAAAAAGAGTTGTTATATAGAGTTTGTTTAATAGGGCTTCTATTATAAGTGTAAAGAGAGAAATTTCCTACAATTCAAAAGTGAATAAACAGTCTATAATTTATGTGTTCTACTGCTGTGTATAGGCCAGGCTCTCAGATTTCTAAGAGGGTTTTCTTGGAGCAAGAAAGAGCCCAATACACTACCTTAATACGCGTTGTGTGCATTTGTTCAATATACTTAAATTTTTATTAATTTATATTATTATTCTTAAGGATTATTACAGAATTATTTATTTTATGACAGAAGTTATTTTTTAATTTGGTTTACAAATAGCGTTTATGAAATTTCTTTTATATTGAACATATATATACAGGTTGTCCTGTAAATAGTAGTAAATAGTAGTGGGCTCAAGTAGCAATATCAAGGTCAACACGAGTACCTCTGTATTGTTCGTGGATAAAATAAGACTCGTTCATTGACAAAAATAAAAATTGTTTAACATAGCAAGTGGATAAAATTGATTAACTTGAAAATCTGTTTTGTTGTTAGTTTGGTTCTAACCTCTCTAATTTTGGCCACAAAAGATGTACTAAAGAATAAAACAAAAAAAAACTATTATCGAAAAATTTGAATTATATTTTATGTGTGTATAGAGTCCAAGGCGGATTGCACTGTTGTATAAAAATGTTCTATATCTTCTTTATTGCATTGCTCTGTGGGAGCGTATGATTGGACGAGTGTCCTGGCCGAGTTATCTGATGTTTGTATTTCAAGTAACGCCACCCGATCCAAGAAACTTTTTATATTTACTATATTATTTTTTAAATGTTTTATAATAAGAACTCCACTCACTTTATTCCGTTCGTCCCACATGTATGAAATAAGATAAAAACGGTGTGTTCCTTTATCGCTTCTTTTTCTCTTCTTTTTTTCACATAAACCTATAATGTCCCATTTTATTGACAGCGTATCTTAATTCTTCTATTTTGCTGTCCAATAATAAGGTCCGTACGTTGATACTTGCTATGTAGAGATTTTGTGTTTTTGTTTTTGTTGTTAATTTCGTTTTATTGTTTTTATTGTGATTTAGGAAGCGATGGTCTGACTCCTCTACGGTTACCAGCCGGCTTGGGGGAGGTAGAGAGGTTGAAGAGGCGCTAATTAGTTTTTTGAAATATTTTCCATATTTACGGGTATTACCCGATTGTTGAGATTCAGCTGCGACGGGCGTATGAAGAATATTATATATGTTGGTACGTATGGTTATCTTTACACTGTTTCTCAAGCATTATTATTTTTTGCATATCCTCATATTTCAGGGATATAAATTCAAGTGACTTTTCTATGTCCGTATTTGACTTCAACATTTGCATAACTTATTCCTTGAACGAAAGATCATCCCTTGAGAGTTCATCGTGATGTCTTTTTTGTCTTGAAACCGCAAACAAAGAAGGGGTTTTCGGTGGTTTGTAGATGTCGGAGTCTGATCCTGCTTTATTAGGTGAACGAAGCATATTGATTTTTAAATATGTTGAGCAAAGCAATAATTTTCCGCAGATTAGCTATTTTATGAAAGCAGGCGCTTTTTGAGCAAAGGCGGTGGGTGGAGCCAAAAATTATGCAGCAAATGTATACACGCTGACAGTATGGCAGGACACGTCTGTTCGTTTTCTGTTTTGGGGAAGGGATTATATTATATACTAGTTGGCCGGGCAGACGTTATTCTGCCCTTACTGGCTGGTGGCGCGATCAGTTTCATTTTCACACAAACACTTTTCTATAGATTTATTATACGTTTAGATAAATCCTCTTTAGGTCTAATAGAATCATCAGCAGCCATAATGACATTAAACTTAAAAAAAAAGAAAAAAATAGCTCTTTTTTTACTCTTCCGTAAGCGGATAAAAAGTTGCCTATATGTCATACACGGTTATTTACGTGATTCGTAAATACAAAAATTTTCTACAGATTTATTATATGTATAGATATATACTTAAATAGTTAGCCGTAGATAAAGTTTTGACATTTATAGACAGGTGCCACTGTTCACTGTTTATCTACTATATTATCTCCACATAGTATAAAACAAAATCGCTTCCCGCCGTGTGTAGGGTTAGTTCTTTTCGACTATGATGCGGTTTTCATCAGTAGACAGAATGATTCAAGTCTGTGTGTATGTGGCTCATCTTCTCCTAAATGGCTTAATCGATTTTGATGAAATTTTGTGTGTATGATTAAAATGATTAGAGAATGGTTTAGATTTACAATTGGACCCGGTAGATTGTTGTCCAGATCCAGAAATCATCCCTGCGAAGCCGGGGCGGTTCGCTAGGCCTCTATATATTAAAAAAATAAGACATCCTCAGTGATTGACTCAATAATTAATTCACAGCCCATGCCGTTTGACGTAGAAATCTGAAAGTACAGTAGCTACCTTTTAAGACGTAGTCAACCACTAAGAAAATATTTTGGACAGTTACAAATCCCAATAAGGTGAAATAGGGTGTTAAAATTTGTTTGAAACTTTTTATTTTACGGGACGATTGACTCGAGGACAGATAATAACGACCTTTAAGGATAAAAGACAAGGTTGCAAATTTTGTACGAAATATATTCTATTTAGGTGCACAGCCCAAAACGATGAACGTAGACGCGTTAAATTGGGACGATAGCCTCCTTTTATTACGTAGCCATCCACTTTTCCCTCGGCATAATTCTTCGGCCTTAAGAGGTAGTAACAAATATGCAACCACCCACTGTTCGAATAATACACCTTCACCACTACGTAATCATCATTCTAATATGATGAAGTAATCTAAAGATGTTAGGGAATTTCAAAATACATTTAAAGAAATTAAACTACGTAAATAATACAAAACGTTATAACAGTATTGCTCGGTGACAGCGACACCTTGAGGGTAAGCGGACTGCGTTGTATAAGAAATCCGAAACATCACGACCGTTATTATTGTCATTTTTAAGTTTAAAAATAAGTTAATTGCAATAATTTGATTAAAATTTACTTATATATGAAAGGTGACATTTGATGGTGATCCGACACGAGTACAGAGACATCACACTCAGAACATACAGCTTTACGTCCTTTTTGAGAGACAGAATATGTACCGGAATCATCGGCGTCAACATATCGAATGATATGCAGTTTCGTGGTCACTTGGAAGAGAAGGCCAAATTGGCCTCTAAAAAGCTTTGCGTGCTCAGCAGAGTGGGATAGTATTTCATGCCGGCCTTCAGCTTCAGCTTTACAAGGCGCAGGTTCGACCTCACACGGAATACTGTTCCCATCTCTGGGCTGGGGCTCCGCAGTGCCAGCTCCTTCCACTTGACCGCATCCAGCGCAGAGCGGCTGGAATCCTCGACAACCGAGTCCTCTACGATCGGCTCGATTCACTGGCGCTGCGAAGAGATGTTGCATAACTTTGCATTCTCTTTCGCATTTACCTCAAGGAGTGCCCTGAGGAATTGTCCGGATTAATACCAGCCGCCAAATTTTACGAACGCACATCGCGGCAAAACGCATTATGGATGCTTGGCGGTCCACCACTGTACGTTTTACTAGGAGTTTTATTCCTCGTACGATCTCTCTGTGGAATGGTTTACCATCGGTGATTTTTTGGACGACGTAAGACTTAGGGACCTTCAAGAAAAGAGCTTACTCATTTCTAAAAGGCCGGCGACGCACCTGCAATTCCCTTGGTGTTGCAGTTGTTCATGGGCGACGGTAGTCACTTAAAATTAAATAAGCCTTATGCTCGATTGCCTTCTCTTCTATAAAAAAAAAAACGGGAGTGAATTACTTCGGTCTGCTACTCAAAACAATAGCTCATCTGATTTTGGGCGTGATCAAAACTATTACTTAAAGTTTAAAGGACTTTCCTAAGTTGAGTGTAGTTTTATTTATTATTTGTTTGCATGTAAATACTTACGCCATATCATTTAGTTAGTTTATTTAGGTAACCAATTTTAGGTAGGCATTGGATTGTAATTTTAATTTCGAATATATTATTTTTATATTAATGACAGTAGGGTGCCTCATAACGTAGTATCAATAACTGGCAATGGAGTTTGCTAATTTAGGACAATGTCTTATCTGTTGTATAGTACCAATTGGCTAGAGAAATTGGGGAGCAAATTGTGTCATTTTGACATTGTGGTCATTTTGTTGTTTATTTACAATACGAAACACAAGCGTATAGTTTGCCCAATTCGTTTGTTGATTCGTTTGTCGTTCCGTCCGTTAGTTCGTTTGTGGTCCCGTCTATTTGTTCGTTTGTAAGTTTGTCTGATTGGTATACCAACTGAATTTTTTTTATACAGATTAGCGTATTCCTAGTTCTTTGCGATAGTTAAAAGTACAAATAAATAATCGTCACTTATCATAACAAAAGTAATAATTTCACACGAACAAAGCCGCCGGGCAAGGCTAGCTTAATAATATAATC